AAACAGGAACTGTTGGTGGATGTTTGCTATGGTAATGCATGGTTGGTACCCGTGTTCGTAAGAGAACGCTCGCCAACAAAACTAGCGATCAACCTCTACTGACGATGATAATAATGAAACACTAATCTCACAGAGTTAACAGGGCTTTCACTACTGAACACTTCTAATTAACTGCATGTGTATCCAGCTTGAGCCGATAGGTTAAATGCATACTTTCGCAGACGTTGGTCAGAGCATTTAAACATTTTCAATGGCCAGGAGGTTTTCTAATCCCGTCGTTCGTACAGTCATTGCCTATAAAAGGAACTACGGATATTAAATAATTCTTGTTGAAAGTTCTCGCCCTTTTTAACCTCACAAAAACTGGGCATTTTACATATGAGGGCACTGGGTGCTTGAATGAGTAACCCACAGATAAAGAGCCTCGAACTATGGTTTGGAAGATTCTGAAGACTACGTATACAATTTGTTTTAAACACAGACCGCAAACCACTGCAACTACAGTAATCTCTGTTGAGTGTGAGACATCTCCTACTGCTCTGGCAATCCACCTGTCCGCGATCGACTCTAGACTTTATTTTGGGACGGGTTGTTTCTGGTACCATGAAATGTGGAACTTGATAAGGGGTAATGCTGGGTTGTCTGCATCACACGTGCTGCTTTGCTTACTGAAGAAGTGCATCAAAGAAATGACGAACTTGAGTCTGTAATTTTTGTATCTGTCCCTTGGTTTTCTTGGCACATTTTCTGTTCAGGTCGTCCTTTGTATGAATTATTTTCTCTATTTTTTTGTCTAACTTTCTGCCATCCAGTCATTAGCATACAGGTGTGCTCCAGGAGAAACATTCTGTCTGCCGGAGTTCTCTTGGAACGAGGATACCCTATCCACCTGGTGCGGAAACTGGCTATTGGGGCATCTCCCCTGTACTGTCTAACATTGCCACTTCTGAAGATTGGCGTAAACAACTGGTTTGTCTTCTCATCCTTTGCAAATTCACATTGTACAATAACGAAGGGTGGTTTATTTGCTTCATATATATTAAACTAGTTGTAAAGCGCTTAGTGGAGTATATAAATTAATAATCTATCATGCCCAGAAATGTTTTTGTTTAGTTTGTCATGGTTGGGATCTTCTACTAATAATGCACGAACGAGTTATGACTTCGTTGGTTACACTCAGCTGTCCAGTGTATGTGCGCATGCAATTTTTGTATTCAAGTGCAATGAGTCCTTTCCATACTTTTCACTAACTTTTCTGCTAAACCGTTAAGGCTTCCGAAAGATTTATTCAGCTAGTAGCGATTTTTGCACAATGAAAATTCCGCAGGTGTATGACAGCTTTTGACGTGACCCTGTCTCAGCATTCATTCAAATAGTGATCGAATCACATCAGATAAAATAGCACTTTGCTAGGGCCTACAAACTAATTTATGGGAGTCTTATATTTAGGCAATCTATGCGGTTTATGATTGCGACCATTCAGAGTATTGAATTCTCCTATCCTCGTTGTCCTGCTTGCATAGCACCTTGAATGGCTCCTTGGACTGCGCCGCCTACCCTACCCACTGCATCAGATAATGCAGCTGAAAAAAAACGAGATGAGCCCAACCGTTTTCTTTGCGAAGATAGGAGAATTACCTCCAGCAGGATTAGCTCCCCATCCACCTTGACCTTGACCACCCCAACCTCCTTGCTGAGCTAAAGCCAGTGTCACCAACAGAAGAACAAGAAGAGGGAAAACGAGACCTTGGCTCATATCTGAAACAGATTATGGTAGTCCCTTTGCTGATCAAGTGTATGTCAGAAATGCTACAAGATGTCATACAATACAGTAACAATGAGACAATACAGGACAAAGAAACAAAAAAGAAATTGGAACAGGAGCTGGAAATGCCCACTGTTGGCGTACTGTGGATATTGAATGAGAAGAACGCTTAAATAGGAAATGTGATCGTGTGAAGGGGCAATTTATTATGATGTGATTAATAAGTATAGGATGGAGAAAACCAATATCATGAACATTTTCTTCATAATCGTTTTTAGAGTATGTGTTCGACCATCTTTGGTGCGAGCACTGGAAGTGTCCCTACATCGGGATCACAGTTAATAAATCGGCTGGTTATGGACAATTCTACGGCCAAAAGTACCATAGTCCAAAGTACAGAACAAGCCTACTGCCGGTCGAGATAGGGTACACGACAAATTTGCACTTTGTAGCAAAAAATATCATAATCTATCGCTTCTGTGTTTCTATGCAGGTTCAGTACTCGCCGTAAGAACTGGCAGAGGGTGTGGTGCGTTAGGAACGAAATGGTCGCGTCGCGGTGAAAGGGG